CCCTTGGTCTCCTTCAGTTATGGCTTATTTTGGTTAGAACTTCAAGTACTGTATTGAATAGACATGGAGGGATTGAATAGCTGGTCTTGTTTCTGATTTTAGATCAATTGCTTTGAATATTCTTCAGTTTAATTTGAAGTTGCATGATTGCCTTTATTATGTTTAGTTAAGTCCCTTGTATCCCTAATCACTTCAAGACTTTTATTTTCAGTGTTTGACATTTTCAAAGTATTTTTAATCATCTAATCAGATAATCATGTAGCTTTTTCTTTCAATTTGTTTATATGGTAAATTACATTGAATTATTGTCATATGTTGAGCTATCCCTGCATCTCTGGAATTAGGCCTACTTGATCATGGTAGTAGTCAGTTTTGAAGAAGGCTCTTAAGATACTTAGAAGAAGGTATATTATTTTCTGTTTGGATGAAATGTTCTGAAGGTATCAGTTAGGTACATTTGGTTTATAAATGTTTGTTAGTTCAGGTATTTATTTAGCTTTTTTTTTCTTTTTTGGATCAGCTGTCCAATGGAGGGAGTAGGGTATTGAAGTCTCGCACTATCAATGTGTTAGGGTTAATGTGTATTTTAAGCATCGGTAATGTTTCTCTTACAAACATGAGTGTCTTTGCATTTGGAGTATAGATGCTAAGAATTAATTAAAATTGTGTTGTGGTGGATTTTTCCTTTGATTACTATGATTTGACTTTCACTGTCTGTTTAATTTTGATTAAGTTTTTTAGTTTGCTTCTTATGTTCAGTTGCTTGCAAAATCTTTTTGCAACCCTTTACTATGAGGGAGTATCTATCTTTGATGTTGACATGTGTTCCATGTATGGAGCAGAAGGATGTATCCTGCTTTCACAGTCATTCTGTTCATCTATGTCTTTTTCTTGGGAAAGTGAGAACATTGACATTTGGAGATAATGATGATGAATGGTTGTTAATTCCTGTTATTTTGATGATGGTAGCAGTGGTGGTGGTGGTTGTGGAGGAAGAAGGAGGAGGAGGAGGATGACAATGATGATGATAGTGATGTGTCTGCTTTAATTTTTTCATTTTGGTCCAATGGAATTATTCAATACCTCTGTTTTCATGACTGTAGTTAGCCTCCTTGTGTTGGGGTTTTCCTCCTAGTATCTTCTGTATGGCTTTATTGTAGATATTATTTAAATTTGAATTCATTGTGGAATGTATTTTCTCCTTCTATGGTAATTGAAAGTATTGACAGGTATAATAGTCTGGGCTGGCACCTGTGGTCTCTTATAGTCTATAGACATCTACTTTGGCTCTCTTGGCTTTTAGAGTCTCTATTGAAAAGTCAGGTGTAATTCTAATAGATCTGCTTTTATATGTTACTTGCTCTGTTTTCCTTGTAGTTTTTAATGTTTTTCCCTTGGTCTATATGGTTCAATTTTTATTATTTTGTGGCAAGGGGACTCTCTCTTTTGGTCCAACTTTTGGTGTTCTCCATGTTTCTTATAGTTTATATGCATTTTATAACTTTCTTCTATGATTTTGTTGAAAATATTGTGGCCCTTAAAGTTGAGAATCGTCTCCTTTTTTTAATTCTTATTCTCATTCTTATTAGGCCTTTTAATACTGTCCCAGATTATCTGAATGTTTTGTGTAAGGAATTTTTCATATTTAACATTTTCTTTGACTAATATATCTATTTCTTCCATCATATCTTCAACACCCAAGATTCCCTCCTTTATCTCTTATATTCTGTTGGTGAAGCTTACTTCTGTAGTTGTCGTTTGCTTACCTACATTCATTTCTACATTTCATTTCCAGAATTTCCTGAGTTTGTGCCTTCTTTATTGCTTCTATTTCCATTTTTAGGTCTTGAACAATTTTATTCATTTCCTTCAACTGTATGTTTTGTTTGGCTTTCTTTAAGAGATTTCTCATTTCCTCAAATTTTTGGTTTGTCTTTCCCTCACTTCTTTTAAGAGATTTATTCACATCCTCTTTAACGACCACCATAATGTTCATAAAGATGGTTTTAAGGTCTTTTCCTTGTTTTTCAGCTGTGTTGAAATATTCAGGGATTGCTACTCTGATTATGATATTTTGCCCTCACTATTGACTCACTATTATTGACTGTTTCCTTAAACTGGCATCTACAGTCTAGGTTTAGAGTGATTACAAGTCTAGTTGCTGATTTCTGAGTCTGTCTTTGTTGGACAGGCATTTTGTTGGTTGGATTCTACTTCCTGTCTATTCTTCTGGTCTTTGTGACCTGTGACAGAGTTCTTGACACAATTTGGGGCCTATAACAAGGCAATTAGGAAAGGAGGGTGGCTATGCATAGGAAGGAGAGCACTGAAAGAATCAAGTACGTCTGTAGACCAGACTCCTAGCATAGCCTTTGGTCAAGCAGAAGCCCAACTTGGAAGCTGGGACACAGAAATTAGGAAGGGAAGGGTGATTGCAGATAAAGTGTGGTGGTTACATAATAAGTAGAGGAGGTCTTTGGGCAGGAGACCTACCTAGATTTCTGAAGGCTGGTATAGCCTCTGGTCTAGTAGGGAGTATCTGACCAAGTTTGCCTTCCTGCTTTTCTCCCTGGTGTGACATATAATTGAGCAGAGGATGCCCACTCGAGTTGGGGGTATGAACTAAGGGGTTAAAGGGTAAAAGAATAGTGTCAGATTGTGTTTTAGAGAATCAGGGAAGTAGAAAGTTCTACGGGCAGGTGGCCTACTTATTCTTCTTGCTGGCACAACCAGAACTTGAGCCGAGGAGGATATCTTCTTAAATTTAGGACTAAGGCCCAACATAGCAGGTGAGTGGTAGGAGAGAAGGGATGGTGGCAGATTTGGTCTGTGGTAACTGAATTTAGAGAGAAGTGGAAGAGTTCCGTGGATGGAGAGCACACCTGGTCTTCTGGCTGGCATGGCCTGCACTTGAACAAGTTATGTTTGCCCAAGTTAGCAACTGAGACATGAGGGGCAGAGTGCAAAAGTAGATGATTGGGTTTGTGTAGACCAAAACTAATTAGTGGGAAAATTCCTCTGGTCAATAGCCTATCTATTCTGTTAACATGGCCTGCATATTTGTTATTTTTGTGACATCCAAAATAATATTGTCTAAGCCAAAAGCAAATGTTACTCTAGAAGTTCACATTTTATTATTAGATGTTTAATCAATATTCAGTTGATTTTTATATGAACATGAGAAAGAAGTTTAAGCTTCTCATTTTGCACTTAAGTATCTAGGTATTGATGTTCTGTTTGATAAAAAAAAATCTTCCACTATAAAATTGCTATTGATTTTTGCTAAATATATTATGATCCTATTTGTGTCTGGTTCTTGACTTCTTGTTCTCTTCCACTCTTTGTGTGTTTGTACAGTCACCAACATCACAGGTTTTGTTAGTGACTACTGCAGACTTAATATCTTGAGGAATCTTCCCATTCTTTCAGTTTAAATATCTCACATTGATAGTGGACTTGGAACCTTTTACTTATAATTTGGGGTAGATTGTGTTCTTGTGATCTTCTGTACCACATAGACTAGTTCTTTGGTACATGTGCTGGCATATAGACAGAGAAGATACAGGATGTCTCTAGCACTTATACAGTTCTACTTCAAGTTTTCTCGCCTCTGCTTTTCTATGCCGGGAGTCCCAGTAATTCCAATCTCTTTGAGAGCAGTGACTTTTGTTGCTTAAATTTAGTAAATACCCATCTTATTTTTTCTGGTTAGGATATTTCTCACTGTGTTATTTTCTGTAAAACTCCCCCATACCTGGTTAATATGGAGCCTCATTAATATCTTGCTACTCTGAAATTCCAGTCTGGTTCTATTTCTCTTCCCAAAACAGCTATTGGTAATTGACAACTATTTTTTTCCTGCCCCTTCCTTATTTATGTCTGGCACTCACTTTTATTTTATTAACAACTTTATTACATTAATTTTCAAAGATCATAACTTTGTTACCTTTCCCTCATTTGACTTCTATTTGACTTCATTTTTTTTTTAAGTTTTGAGAATTTGTGCTTGTGTTGGCATTAACTTCCTTTTCCAAGATAACAAAGTAAAAATACTCACTGAATTTTATTCTGTATTGAATTACTATTTTCTAGCTGTTTGACGGTGTTCCTGTCTATTAACAATTTAGTGCTGCCTCCCTATATTTCATCTAATGTTTTCTTTGGCATTTATATACAATATTTAATGTTTTCCACTTTGATTTCCTGATTATCCATAAACTAGCAAATGTGTGCTGGAAGAAAACCAAATAACTGAAAGAGCTATACTTTTATAATTTGTTTTTTAAAATGATTTTTCATGCAAAATACTTTTATGTGGTACATTTCACAATGAACTACTCTCCAGCTGATATGAAAAATGGAATTAAGAGTTTTACTTTTATACTTTCGTATTCTGCTGCACAGGAGCTGAAGAAGCATCATGGGGACCTAAGAAGATTCAACAAACTTAAGGATTCTTCTGATCTTCTTTGAACTTTAACATCTACTATATTTTAGATATTCACTGATGATGACATTTCAAAATGTTTGTACAGCACCTATGTAAATACACTTTCTGAAATTATCATGCAATCCATGGAAACCTAATTACATAAATGAATCTAAAAAATATTCCTAACATGATTAAATGGTGTGTTTGTGTGTGTGTGTGTGTGTGTGTGTGTGTGTGTGTTATATACATTCCAGTGTTCTGACACTTCATAGCTTCATAGGATTATGGATTCACATGAACTAAAACAAAACATATTGATCCTTTTCAGAAGAGATTATGAGTGATTTAAATATTACTTTGTCAGAAAAAATTTTGCAGAAGATTATGATATATCTTTAAACCTATAATTTGTCTTCTTTTGGTACAGTAATATGAATGATTTTAATTATTCCAGCACTTCATATACAAAAGACTAATGGCTATTCTAAATATGTTTATGTTTTTAAATCCTTAAACTATGTGTGCACTGAGCACACAATCATCTTTTTCTTACACTTTTCTTTTTTAGAGACATGTTTAAAGTCAGATATTGAAATTGAGAATGGATTGCTTTCTCAATCTGATTCCAAATATCTTCAAAATAAAAAAGCACAGTATATGTGTAAACAGGGATATGTGACAGCAGATGGAGAAACATCTGGATCAATTACCTGCCTAGAAGATGGATGGTCAGCTCAACCCTCATGCTTTAGTGCGTATTTCATTATAATGCCCTCATCACACTAGTGATATGGAGGACTTTAGTTTTATTCTCCTTTATGAGTCTGATATTATTTCATTTGAAAGATGAATTTTAGATTTCAAGAAAAATATTCATCACTATTTGTTTTTCCCATTTGGACTCATTCTTTATCTTCTACTGCTTTAAAAGATCATATAATTTTAGATTTAGTGAGAGATTCTTTGACCAGCTGACATTTTAAAGATGTTTTGCTCTCATACATAAAGATAAAATTGTTAGTGAACATAATGTCCATACTTTGAATCTCAGAATATGTGATAACTTTTATAATACATATTTGACACAGTGAGTTAAGATCCATTTCTGAATGTCTCTGCCTTAGAAATTGAGTCCAAATATCTTAATATTAGAAAGAAAAAATTAATTTCAGGTGAGAGCAAATTTTGGTGTTTTGAAATTTTCCATTCTTTTATGACATACAATTAACAAAAGTTTTCTAATAGTAATGATAGTTCATCTTATCTTATTTATCAGGAAACTAGCAAGTGGTATTTTTCAAGAAGTCTTCAACATATGTTAAACAAAAAGAGTCTTTAAAATATTAACTACTTTCTTAATTTTTATTCATTGTGCTTTTATGTGATCTAATCAAAGAAAATCAATTAAAATTATTCCTTCATAATATTCATTTATATTAATTTTTAATAAGAGACTGTTTGATTTATATATTGTTGAAAAAATGTTTTATATACTACAACAAATATACCAATTTTGAATTCAGCTGATCCACTTTTCTAAGTTCTATGTTTCATATTAACTACTAAATATGGAACCTTAATTCACAGAAAATGCTATTACATTCCCCCCAAAATTATATACATCTGCACTTGTCTATTTATTTATAACATATGGTGAGAATAATTAAAACTGAGCTGTGCAATTATTTTTAAATTGAAATTTTACAAAGTTTTAAGTAAAGAGATAAATAATAATATAAATTTATTTTCATTTTAATTACCATTTCAGCAAAATGATTTACTGTTGGTCATCTTAAATGGTTTCTATACAGTATTTAATTTGTTATCATATTAATCTATAAAGCCTTTCTCCTTGTTGTGGGAATTACTCAGATTATCCGTTGACACATTAAAAATAAACTCTTCAATTTTATTATGTATTAGAGTCGTGTGATATGCCTGTGTTTGAGAATTCTGTAACTAAGACTAATAGCACATGGTTTAAACTCAATGACAACATAGACTATGAATGTCACGTTGGATATGTAAACAAATATAGACATACCAAAGGCTCCATAACTTGTACTCATGATGGATGGTCTGATATGCCCTCATGTTATGGTGAGTACTACTGTCTCTAAGATTTTTTCTTTTTTTAACTTACTCACTTTGCATCCAGCTCACTGTCCCCCTCCTGGTCACCCCCTTCTACAATCCTTACCCCATCCCTCCTCCCCTTTTCCTCTGAGCAGGTAGGGCCCCCTGGAATTCCTCCACCCTGGCACTTCAAGTCTCTGCAAGGCTAGGTGCATCCTCTCCCACTGAAGCCAGACAAATCAGCACAACTAGAAGAACATATCTCATGTATAGGCAACAACTTCTGAGGTAACCCCCATTCCAGTTGTTTGGGACCCATATGAAGTCCAGGCTGCACATCTGCTACTTAAGTGAAGAGAGGTCTAGGTCCAGCTCATGTATGCTCATTGGTTGGTAGCTCAGAATGAGTGCCCCAAGGGACTAGGTTATTGATTCTGGGGTCTTTCTATGGAGTTCCTATCCCCTGCAATCCTTCCTCCTATTCTTTCTTAAGAGTCCCCAAGCTCCATCCACTGTTTGGCTGTGGGTGTCTGCATCTGTCTGAGTCAGCTGGTGAGTGGAGCCTCTCAGAGGACAGTCATGCAAGACTCTTATCCTCAAACTTAACAGAGTACTATTAATAGTGTTAGGGATTTGTGCTTGCACATGGCATGGGTTGAGCTGGTTATATGGTTGTCCATTCCCTCAGTCTCTGATCCATCCCATGCCTTCATTTCTTATATACAGGATAAATTTGGGGTTGAAAGTTTTGTGGAGGCTTGGTGTCTCTATCACCCCCACTGGGGTTCCTGCCTAGCTAAAGGAAGTGGCCTCTTCGGGTTCCATATCCCCAATGTAGTGAGTCACAGCTAAGGTCACCTCCATTGATTCTTGAGCATTTCCCTAAGCCCAGGTCTCTCTCTAATCCTGGAGATGAAAGCCACTTCCTCATGCCTGTTAGTTGCAGATTTCCATTAATTTTCATGGCCATCTAGCCATCTCCCCTGTCCTTCCTGATACCTGATCCTGAACCTCCCATTCCCCTCCCCACCCCGAACCCTCCCACTAGGAATGGAGAAGTGTTTCCCTTGCTTCACATCCTGGCCAACATGTGCTATCACATGAGGTTTTGATCTTAGCCATTCTATTAGAAGTAAGGTAGAACCTCAGAGTTGTTTTTATTTGCATTTCCCTGATGACTAAGGGCTTTGAACATTTAGTGATTCTCAGACATTTGAGAGTCCTTTGTTGAGAATTTGGTTTAGTTCTGCCCATATTTTAATTGGATTACTTGAATGATTGGTATCTAACTTCTTGAGTTTTTTATAAATTTTGGATATTAGCTCTCTGTCAGATGTAGGGTTTGTGAAGATTCTTTCACAATCTGTAGGCTGCTGTTTTATCTTATCGACAGTGTCCTTTGCCTTCTAAAAGCTTTCTAGATTAACAAGGTCCCATTTAATAATTGTTGATCTTAGAGCTTGAGCCATTGGTGTTCACTTCAAGAAATTGTCTCCGTATCAATGTGTTCAAGACTCTTTCCCAGCTTCTCTTCTATTAGGTTTAGTGAATCTGGTTTTATGTTGAGGTCCTTGAGCCAGTTGGAGTTGAGTTAAAGTGTAATAAATATGAATCTATTTGCATTCTTCTGCATGTAGACATGAACTCAGACTGGCACATTTGGTGAAGATGCTTTCTTTTTTCTATTTTATGGTTTCGGTTCCTTTATCAAAAAAAAATCAAGTGGTCAAAAGTCCTATGCATTCATTTCTCAATCTTTGATTCAATTCCATTCAATTTTATGACTGCTTCATTTTTTTTTTAGGGTTTATGGGGCTGTGTATATCCTTAACTGATCTTGATATAATGTTGGTAAGTGGTATCTGTCCATTTCATTAAGATTTGCCAATCTTGTGAAGGAAAAACTTTTGAAGTAAAACCTAAATATTCTTTGAATTTCCTCAGTGTCAGTGGTCACCCTTTTCATTACTGATTTTGTTTAACTGTTTATACTGTCTCTCTGTCACTGGGTTAACTTGGCTAAAGATTTGTCTATGTTGTTGATTTTCTCAAAGTATAATACTCTGACAAAAGTAAAATTGGCGGTTTGATCAGCCTATAGACAAGCCGCTCATTCTTTGTGTCCCTTGTCCTCCAGTTCTCTCTTCTAGGTCTCTCTGATCCCAGTTCAATGCCCCGTGAGACTTGGGCACTCTAGCTGCTTGTTTACAATAGCTTCTCAGCCATCTTTTTCAGTGTTTTCCACAGAAACCCAGGACGTTGTGTTAGCAGGCATGTATGTCAGACCTATTGCTGATTTTAGGCCTGTGGCTGATTTTAGGCCTTCAGTGTATAAGCAGGGCTGCCCCTGACATAATACCAAGGAAATGTTTATGAACTCCAAAAGACCAATCAGGAACTGATCTGATGCAATCACACCAAGGTCTTTATTTGCATGCTCTGGCTTAAGATCCACAGGACATTTCCTGTAGAGAAAAGCCCAGAACACTCATCCTACAAGATTTTACACAAAATGGCAAATGAGAGGTGAGTGTTTCTAGCCTGGCAAGCTTCTAATTGGGATGCTACTATGGCCTTTAGCATAATTGGCTGATGCTCAGGAGCCAAATCATAAACTTAACTTCTGCTTTCCTCCTGATTGGTGGTTGTTAGGCAGGGGTGGGCTTGTAACATGGAGTTGCAGATTTGTTGTGGTAAGTAACCTGGAAATGCAGGTCTTGTTGGGTGATAACTTGGAAATTGAAGCTAGGCTCAGGTTTTGTTTGGGGGTAACCTGAAAACTGAAGCAAAGTACTGGCCTGTTAGTTAAGTCAGGTTTTCTAAGATGGAATCTGAACCCAAAAAGTTTGGTCTCTCAAAAGAAAAAGCCAGCTCTTGGTTTCATTCATTCTTTGTACTGTTTTCTTTGCTTTCTAACTGACTTATTTCAGTCCTGATGTTGACTATTTCCTGCCTTTTGTTCCTCTTTGTTCTGCTTGCTTCTTTTTTGCTAAAGTTTTCAGGTGTAGTATTAAATTGCTGATATGAGAACTTTCTAACTTCTTTATGGAAGTACATAGGGCTATGAACTTTCCTCTTAGCAAAAGCTGTTGCCTGTACATGGGATAAAGAGACTTGATGTGCCAGGGTGGGGGGATACCCAGGCGGCCCCAACTTCTCAGAGGAGAAGGGGAAAGAGATTAGGGGAAGAAGTGTAAGAGGGGGTAACTGGGAAGGGGGCAGTGAGCAGGATATAAAATGAATAATTAAAAACAAGCAAAGCAAAACAATGACAATGAAAAACAGGTAACACTACCAAAACTCTGCCAATAAAATAAAAAGTTCTCATCAGACTTACAGATCCTGAGCCATACAGTCAAGCTTTCTTACACCACCCATCTTCCCTGCTTTCTAAGCCCTCTGGGCTAAAGTCTTCATATTGTGTTTATCACTGTACTTTTAATGGTTCTGTTTGAGTCAGTACTTTGACTTGATCTCTCAAAATTTCAAATGTTGTCTTTTTAGATTCAACAAAGATATGTGGGCCTCCTCCACCTATTGAGAATGGAGACACCAAATCCTTCCCACTACCGATATACATGCCATCATCATCAGTTGAATATCAGTGCCAGTATTTGTACCATATGCAGGGCAATAAGACAATAATATGTATACATGGAGAGTGGTCAGAGTCACCAAAATGTTTACGTAAGTATCTTGTTCTCATAGATCCTGAAAAAGTCAGTATTCAAATATGAAAGTAGAAGTCAACTCATTTTATTTGAAAGTATAGATTGCTATATGTGGTAAATCCCAAGCAGGCATCCAAATTTAAATATTGAAAACATATCTGATTAAGAAGCAAAATGTATGCATGCACATAGACACACACACACACACACACACACACACATACAGCTTTTTTCTATATACCAATTCTATTTTTATGAGAAGTAGAAATAAAAGCAATCTCATTCACAGTAATTAAAAAATCATCTAGCAATCAATTTAACAGAACTGATTGACTTTGAATATTATTGATGAAAGAACCTCACAAAACAAAAATAGGGAAATTGCATATATTAATAGATTGGAGCAATTAATATTAAAATGCCAATTTTCCAAAAGCAATTAGTAGACTCTATGAAACTCCATTAAAACACAGGAAACATACACTATACAATATGAGAAACAATTCTAAAATTTGTATGAAGGTACTATAAAACGTGTACAAGTAAAAGGAACTTAAACACAAGGACAAAATCTGGAAACGTCATCATACCTTGCTTCAAGGTACACCAGTAGCCACAGTAACCAGAACATTATGACACTGGGATAAAACCAATGCACAGAAAGACCATGTATATTTGAAAATTTGATCTATGCATCTATAGTTAAGAGAGCTTGATAGAATTTCAAAACACACTGGGAAAAGGGAAAGCATCTTCAATAAATGATACAAGGAAAGTTGAAATACACATGGAGATTTTTAAATTTTGATAGATTCATGCCTCAGACTGTGATAAAGAATCAACTACAAGTGGATAAAAGATAAACATGTAAGAAAAAACCTTGAAACTACAAGGGAAAACAAAGGGAAAAAACAGTTAACTGAATTTAGATTCTGAATGTTAAAATGGGATCCCAAAGCACAGGACATGAAAGCAAATCCCCCCTGTGCAATAGAGTTTGTCATATTGGAACGCTTCTGTATTGCAAAGAAGATAATCAATACAATTAATAGACTCTGGAATTCAAAAAATGAGTATCATTAGTTCAACATCAGGATCCTTAGCTCAACATCAACTTTTACGTATGTAAAAGTAACAAGCTGTTATCAAATAAATAAATAAACACGCACATCAGTGTGGAATACAATGCTTAATTTGATTAGTTGTCATGGCACTGCCAATCAAAGCTACAATAAGATGTGTCATCGTATAGTTAGAATGGTATTACAGGAAAAAAAACCTTAATATAACAAATGTTAATGTTGTGAATAGCCTAATCAAGACTGTAATGGAAAAACATCAATGTGGGTAGGGCCACAGCCTGCATCTGGAAAAGTATAGGATACCTATGTATTTGGGGCTGACTTAAGGGCCTACTACCTCTGCTGTTGATGTACTTTAAAGGATATTAGGTTTATTTCAAGGAATCAGATATAAACATTGCAAAGACAGATTCATACATGCCCACATGAGAATTAAAATTAGCTAAACATCTGAGGACTGTGGTAATGTGATATCATAATTTACATATGCTGCTATTAATAATTCATACATGCCCACATGAGAATTAAAATTAGCTAAACATCTGAGGACTGTGGTAATGTGATATCATAATTTACATTATACTGCTATTGATAACTTTTAAAAAGAAATCTCACTGGGCGGTGGTGGCACACGCCTTTAATCTCAGCACTTGGGAGGCAGAGGCAGGCAGATTTCTGAGTTCGAGAGTTCAAGGCTAGCCTGGTCTACAGAGTGAGTTCCAGGACAGCCAGGGCTACACAGAGAAACCCTGTCTTGAAAAACCAAAAAAAAAAAAAAAAAAAAAAAAAAAGAAAGAAATCTCAGTGAGATAATTTAATTTACTGATTATCTATGAAAAGTATAATTCTCAAATTTGTTAAGGAAGAATACTTAGGACATGAAGAATAGGTATTTTAAACCATGTACCAAAAAAATATAGAAAACTCATGAAAAAATTCTCATAAAAACACAATGAAGAAGGAAGCTACAGGAAGTTTATGCATTTTTGTTGGCATTTGTTAGAATTCTTTTAACATGTTGCATGAGGATTCCTGAAGTAGAATCATACTTCATGGAAATTAATACAATTCCGATAGTAAAAATACTAACTATTCATAAATAGGAGCAAGGAGAGAAAAAATTATGGAAATTACATATAAATTCATTAATACAATGAATACTATAGCAGTTTAATAAGAAATTATATGATGGTTTAAAATAATGGAATCATGTTAAATAAACAATAATCATATTGGATATTAATGAACATCTCTGACCCACTTTGGTTTCCCGTGCATCACAGTCTCTGTCTTCTCATGCAGTTATTTTAATTAATAGAAAGTAATTTATGGATCAGGTGGTTTGTCTATGGTATGTGTGGGTAGTTTTATTTTAAAAGTGAAAAAATTACACATTTTCCTGGAGGTTGAAAGATATAACTTTCTTAGTAAATTTTCCCAAGTAAGTCAAAGGACACATTTACTTAAAAATAATGAGTGTGAAACATTCACATCTATTTAGAAGTGAATATTAGTACCTATGTCCAGTGATTGTTGAGAACAGCAATGTCAATGATTAGAAAATGAAAATAATCATTGAAGAATTATATGAAGTTATTGCCAGTTATATGAATCATAAATCATGAAGTACTATATGTGATGGCTTCGATACAAAAGATTTTACATCAGAAAGCCACAAGTACATCAGGAGGAGAGAGAGGGAGCCTCGATGGTATGTCAAGCATAGGGAGATGTGCTTACTAAATGTCATTTTTACAGCTTTCAGTAAAAATGAAGAGAGTGTCTGCCTTAGTTTTTGTATACTTAATTGTAAGGAAATTAAATATTGTCATTATTTTTAAATGCTTACATGCAGGAATGGCGTGTGAACCTCCTGATATTCCAAATGGTACCTACTCACCTCAAAGGGTTACCTACACAGCTGAAGATGAAATAAGATTTGAATGTAAAGATGGTTTCTACTCTGCAACCCAGGCAACTGTAGCAAAGTGTACAAATACTGGATGGATCCCTGCTCCAAGATGTAGTAAGCTTTATTCACGTATTTAATTCACGTAGTACTGAAATTGCTCATTAAAACATGCACAAATGAAGAGACATTACAGCAAATATTTGACTTTTTATTTGTGTACAACCCTTAGAAACACTTTACTATAAACTAGCATTTTATGTGATATTACATTTTAACTAATATTGAATTTTAAGATATGAAGTAGTATTAAAAGCCCATCTTAGGAAACAAATAATTCATAATTTACTCCTATTCAAGCTAATGTATATGTACATATGTATAATTTTTAAGTAATGAACATTTTTTTCAAATTTTATCAAATTATTTGGTAAGAATATTGTCATATAAGAATTAACTTAAATCATTTGCATTGTAGCAAATATCCTTTAAAAATATTTCCTTCATAATGAAACTTCGTTGTCCACTCATTTCTGTCAGTCAAATTTGAAGATGACTTGGCTACTGGCTCTTCATCAGTATGGTGCTGTCAGAGATAGTCATGGCTGTCAGTCATCAAGAGACATTGCTGAGCTGTAGGTCATATGTCCAACATGGCACACTAACTAGGATTTGTGAAGAGGCCTTGTTTCCTTGCCAGATAAGCCTGTGCATTGAATAGTTGATGACAGCTGACTTGCCCTAGATTACTTATCAGAGAGACAATAGAGGTCCAGAATCCATGCATAAATGACTCACACATCATGTTGTTATCATACCTGTTCCTCATATACTGAGTTCAATGTGCACATAAAGAGGGAGACTATGCTTCTCTCTCTGGAGAGAGCTGCTTTGTAGGGTTTCAGTGGAATATATGTACACTGCATTGTTATTTGGGTCAAAAGTATCTTATTTCTGGAATACTTCTTTAAGGTTTTGGCCTATTTGCACCTATATTTCTTTCTATCCAGTAGTCCATGGTAACTGGGTATCACAACCCTTATATTCTGCCCCAAAAGAAGGAAGAAAGAGAGAAACAGAGAGAGAGACAGAGAGAGAGAGAGAGAGAGAGAGAGAGGGAGGGAGGGAGGGAGGGAGGGAGGGAGGGAGGGAGGGAGGGAGAGAGAGAGAGAGAGAGAGAGAGAGAGAGAGAGAGAGAGAGAGAGAAAGCAAGAAAGCAAGAAAGCAAGAAAGCAAGAAAGCAAGAAGAAAGCAAGAAAGCAAGAAAGCAAGAAAGCAAGAAAGCAAGAAAGCAAGAAAGAAAGAAAGAAAGAAAGAAAGAAAGAAAGAAAGAGACCAGAATGGTCAAGAATCACATCTTAGTCATCCTTCTATCTTTGTGTCAATACTACTGAAGTAAATAACTTAGAATAAGGAAGGATCTATTTACATTTGGTAACTCAAATTCATTGTCAACTTGTCTCATCATTTTAAACATGGGACCAGGCAGACCATCATGTCAAAGAGTAAGTTCTAAATCACAGTTCATTGCCTGCTGTCCACCAGGAAACAGCTGCAAAGGAATGGCCAACATCCTAATACCGTTTCAAAGTGGTAGCCCCAATGACTTAACTATTTCAACCAGGCAAGCCATTCCTGAACTTTACGCCCTCTCACAAAACACCATCAGTATACAACTAATCTCTAACTAACATGAGATTTTGGGAATATATGAAGTCTAAATCATAATAAAAATGTAAGAATATATGTATTTTAAGCCATGTAAGAAATACTATTAAAACATATGAGAACTATTTTTATTATGAAATAATATTACAAAAATGTATATTAATTTTTTACACTTAGTTCATTGATAATTTCTTACATGTATATAGTGTATTCTGGATGTTCATATCTGCAAATGTATGATTAATACCTCATCCTTGCCTGTCCTTTTCCCAATTCATAAGTTTGAATTTGATGTGCAATGTATTTAGTTTAACCTAGGCCATATGTGTAACACTGGGATAAGAACTGTCTTTTGGAACCTGGTTCAGTCACTGATTCCCTTTTCAAGCATCTCTCAGCATGGAATAATTCAGAGGTGAAGGCCATGGCTCCCTGAGATCTTACTCCAGTCATTCCTGGATGCTGACAGACAATTCTTGTGCTGACTTCTTCCTGTATCTGTAGTTGTTGAGAGTTTGTGATTATACTTGCTGTGTAGAACCCAGAAGAGAGTTCACAGCCATTATTATTATCACATATTCTAGCTCTAAGAATCTTTGTGGTCCTTCATCCACATTATTAAACACTGGAGGGGATGCTGTAAGTGTGTTTAATACTGAGTGCACACTCTTACTATTTCCAGCAATTTTTTAACTGGAGTCATAGTATCATCACAATTCACTGGAATAGAAAACTTTCGCTGATTAATGTTATGATTGCTGATTGTCTATAAATACAACTCTATATTTTTAGAAGATTGCACAAATGTTATGTCAGTTTATCTTACTAACAGAGTGTAGACAGTCCTGCCTAGACATATGATACCCCTGCCATGAACTTTTGAGTATGTTTACAAAATTACATGTGTGGAATCACTGTGGTGAATTGTGCCTTAAATTGTATTTTGGTTGGTTCCTAAAAGCATATCTGTCCAAATATATCAGGACTTACTGAGGCCTGAATATATCTGAATATGAGTTATTTCACAGTGGAATTTCTGATGTTGTCCTGGGTAAGATAAAGATGACTAATCTCTCTGTATGTTCATTAAATAACTTTTCTACTTAAAATATGTAGTGCACTCTTAGGCATGTTCATTTACTCATTTCCTTCATCAGATGGTTTACTGTTTGGTTGGAAATACAGTACAAATTTATAACTAGGACAATACAGAGAATGATGATCATGATTCTGCATTTGCAGAGGTTCAAAGACTTATTTTTTGTGCCATGTTGAATTTGTACATGGATGAAATTTGCCAATGAAAACTAAAGTATTCTGGGTTAGGTACAAAAAGCTGTTTGAGTAATTATTTAGAATCATTTTTAAAAATAGTAAATATATTAATCAATGTTGTAAGTAGCCTTAATAAAGAAGTGATGGACCACACATCTCTGCTGAAAGGACCCTGACCTACATTTAGAGAAGTGTAAGATGTCTAGTGTGACTTTTGTATTAACCACCAATGCTGTTCCTAAAATTTAAAGAATATTAAGTCATTTTTGAGAAATTACCAATGAAATGGGCAAAGACAGATTCACCTATGCCCACATGAGACAAGGCAAATAAGGTAAGAGCTGGAGGACTGTTAGTAATCATATTCCTACTGTAATTGTGTCTCATCATACTGCCCTCAAAAAGAAATCTTAGTGAACTAATTCACTATTGATGTCCTATGAAAACTATAATTATCAAATTTGCTAAAGAACACTAAGGATAAAAAGAATTTAAATTTATAAACAATGTAATAAGTGCACAAAAATTCTTGAAAATCATCTTCTCTTATAAAACAAAAAATGAAATTAATAAGGACACTGTAAGAAGTTTAGGTGCTCCTGTTAATATTTTTTGTGATTCTTTTAATATATTTCATGAGGTTCTCTGAGGTTCTTCATGAAAAAAGATAATGCTACTCTGATATTAAGAGTACTAATTTTATTAAAAAACATTAAGGGGAAAAATTTAATAAAACATTTATATAATTTATTAATACAGTGAACAATACATGTCAATATAAATGTACATGTTTAGTTCAATACAATAAAATAACATTAGATTTCAGTTCCAATTCCAATTGTAAAGAAGTGATTATTATATTTCATATCAAGAAATATCTCTAATCTACTTCTCTGGTGAGCTGTAAGATATAATGACTTCTGGAAAAAATGACCTCCTCCGATACCTCATCTACCTTTCTGAATTCTATTTGTTTCCTTATCCTGGATATCTACTGCCTTCTCACGTAGTTATTTTAACTAATTTTAAGTAATTTACTGATCAAGTGTTTTGTCTCTAATATGAATATTTTTCTGTTTGCTTGTTTGTTTTTTATTGCAAGTGAAACCTTGTGATTTTCCACAATTTAAAAATGGAAATCTATATCATGAAAAGAGGCGTAGACCCTACTTCCCAGTACCTATAGGAAAGGAGTACAGCTACTACTGTGACAATGGATTTGTGACTCCTTCAGGGTCATACTGGGACTACCTTCGTTGCACAGTACAAGGATGGGAGCCTGAAGTCCCATGCCTCAGTAAGTCAATGTCTTTATATTAAGTTATATGTAATTCTTTTAAAGAGTGAAAAGAGTAGATCATATATGTAATTACAGTTAACTTTCTATGACAAAAATAAGACCAACAGAGTAATTTGTGAACAAAAAAACTAGGTTCTGTCCTTTGAAAGCAGTTCTTCGTGAAATGCACACAAACAATAGGGACTATGGGAATACCTTTATAGCTTGCATATTTTATTTTAAAAAACTAAAGATAGATATTACGCTTTTAAACATCTGCTATTAACTATTTTAATGTCATGAATGCTCATTAAAAAGTTCTAACAAAAAAATTGAACTTATTTTCAAACAAATCTAAGTTTTTATGTTTTAATGTATCATTTTTATGATTCTTAGAGGAATGTGTTTTCCATTATGTGGAGAATGGGGAAGCTTCATATTGGCAAAGAACATATGTAGAGGATCAGTCTGTAAAAGTCCAATGTTACAATGGCTATAGTCTTCCAAATGGTCAAGACATGATTACATGTACAGAGAATGGTTGGTCCCCTCCTGCCAAATGCGTCAGTAAGTACTCTGCTCTGATATCACAAGATGCTCATGACTTTCTTCCTCACCTATATTAACTGGGACAGAATGCTGCATTGTTTCAAGTGTATTTAAGTAAAGTACTCATAGAAAGTACATAGTAGAGTAAACATACCTAGGAGATATTAGGCCATAATACAACAAAACATTGAGTAAACTTTAATTTATAGTACTATAATCTTTGATATCACTCCATCATTTGACACAAAACAGTTATAAAAGTATAGTATAAAATTAAACAAATATAATAGCAACGTACATCATTGATATATTCAAATTTACTTTTATATGATTAATATTAGTTATTTGTATGTACAGAATTTAATTTAGTAGTCTTTGATTTATGCTAGTTTTGCTCATATTTATAATTTTGCATATTCTTTTTATGATTTTCATTAATTGGGCTGATTTATATGAGCATACTGTTTTTCATATTTATGTATCTTTTTATTTTTAAAAGTCTTATGTAAGCAGATTTTATTAGTTTTTTGTCCCAAGTAGCTCAACAAGATCTTGAAACAAATGACAGATAAGCAGATGACACCAAATGGCCCACATGCCATGTGGCCTGCCCACAGCAGGAACCACTACAATGTACAAATGTGTGGTGGACAGATAGGAGCAAAAGATAATCAAACATTTTGAGCATTAGGAAGAAAGGTGGAATTCAAGAAGCGAGGATGGCAAGAACAGTCTGTTTGTGTATCCAGCCTTGCCACCTGAGGCCAAGGTGAAATCCCAGCCCACACTGCCACTGAGGGACATGTCTGGGTAGATGGTCCTGTAGGAGTCTATTTTGACGTCTGTGGTTCATATTACCACTGAGGATCATGGGGACAGCTGTTAGTTGTCGGGCTGTAGGACATCCTGGGGTGTTTGACCATGCCCCCAGTATCCAGAGATCTCCATTTCACCTATATGGTGGGTCATGTAAGGCACAGGCTGGGGGCATAGATACCTAAGTTTTCATCTCCCTAGCCCCTCTTCTCTCCCGCTCCCAATATAAGAAAGCCCCTCCTGGCATTTTGTGGGAGAGCACACCATCCAGATACAACCATCAGTATGACCAATAAAACTTCCATGTCTTCGATTCGACGTGTCTCCTGGAACTTTGGACTCTCTTGTGTAAGTGGGAAACTTGCCAGCGGGAAACCCTCCCTGCCCTCTCCCTGTTGCAGCTGCCCGCTGGGCACTCTCCCCTGCAGCAGTGGTCCGTCCGTGCACTGCCTTCACGGCTATCCAGTCCCTGGGACCCTGCCATTGCCAGTTCTTTCCCTTCACCCACGGTTCACCGGTGGCTTGCGCCTCAGGGTCTGCTGCGGGGTGCAAAGGCGCGACCTGCCCCACCCCCCGCCCCAACAGCGCGAGTTTTAAACCACAGCTAGTGGCTTTTTAAAAGAGTGGTTTTGTTTTTCTCTAAAACCAGTTAGCTCCCAAATAATTGAAAGTGGACTATTATATTTATTTAACAAGCTTTAAGGACACAACTGAGAAGCATTACTCTATTTTAATCCACCAAATTAATCTGGCTCCCCTCCTGCCAAAATCATTGTGAAACTTGTGTTTTAGCACTTCTGTCTCTCTCTACTCCAATTGTATTCTCATGGACTCTCCCAATGGCTAATCCTCACTTCCTCTCTCTCTTATCCCCTCCCTTTGCTGGATGGACATCCAGACCTATTGTTTCTTCAGCTTAGTCATTGGCTGAGCAGCTTTCTTATTGAGCAATCAGGGAATAATCGGGGTGTAATGTTTACACAACATTCAGACAGGAGATTCTCAGGAAAAGGATTATGCCCAGATATGGGGGCACAATAATCAGCATTTGAATAATGAAGGATAATCTTTGCATAGTGCACAATAATACTGTGCCTACAGAGATCTCCAATCTAGTCTAAGACCACTCTAATGTCTTAGGGCATACACAGCTGACCCCACCACTTGTCTGCTGTGAGATGGCCTGCGTAAGAATGTGATGCCCTCCTCCAATCCTTAGCCCTTGACACCTAACCTACAACAGTCAAGAGATCTGGCCTTGTGATCACTAGAGTGAGAGGACTGGACTTGCCTCTCAACAGCTACAATACTTGTGCAAGAAAGCACCTTGCCTGGGCAGCACAGTTGAACTCTAGTAGCAGGTGGTGAGCCATCTAAGGGTGTGAGCAAATAAGAGCTAAAGTCATTACCAAGAAGTGGTGTATACATGGGGGAGATGCACTTCTCCAACCCTTTCCATGTGATTAGTTAGGAGAGCTGTCCCAGCCTCTGCTTTGTGCAACACTTGGGAGAGTGGGACCTGCATCTTGACTTGGCAGCACAATAGAGAAGGATCTGGTGTGGATGTGGATGAGCCAGCCCTGAGGACCTGAGAAAGAGTGTGTTGAGCCTGAACCTTGCTAGGTAGAGCATTCAGTGAGCCAGCAATACAGGATAGTGCTGGAGAGTTTGCCCTGGTGGCACAGGAGAGCTGACAGGCTGACCAACTCAGTTGCCTCCCATGTGCAGATTCAAAACTTGGAGTTGGCCTTCTACCTCATCTATCTCATCTATAAACTGCTGGAGTAGGTGAAAGGGCTGATCCTGAAGATCCAAAGCTGCAGGATCTCCATGACACAGGGGAACAGGAGGATATCCAAGAGGATTCCTGGTGAGGATCCAGTATTGATAATGTAGAAGAAACCAGACACCTAAATGCAGACTGATGACTCACTGCAAGAAACATTTGCAAATAGATATACGTGGACAAAAGTATATAGTTTATGCTTTGTTTTGTTTATTTTTTTTTATTTTTGTTTTGGGTTTTTTGGGGGGTTGGATTATAAGGGCAGACAGTGGATATTAAGGGACAGAAAGATGAATCAGATTGGGGAGCATGATGAGAAACTCACAAAGAATCAATACAAATATTTTTAAATTGATAATTATATGCTCATTTTCCAAAAATTCATCTTTGAAAAATCATTTTTATTCAAGAAACAGTTCATACTTATTTAGTGTTCAAGTCAGTGGCATTAAAAAATGAGTATGATCTGGAAAACAAGAAGTCATCTTCAACATACGGTGTTGGTGAAACTGGATGTCTGCATGTAGTGGAATGCCAAAAGATCCATAATGATCACTCTGCACTGAACTCAAGCCTAAATATATCGAAGACCTCAACATAAAACCCGGCGCACTGAACCTGATAGAAGAGAAATTGAAGAATATCCTTGAACACATTGGCACAGGAGAAAATGTTCTGCACAAAACACCAATATCACATAGACAAAGATTCACAATTAGTAAATGGGAACTCATGAAACTGAAAAGCTTCTGTAAGGCAAAGAACACTGTCAATTGTCAATCAGACAAAGAGGTAGACTACAAAGTGTGAAAACACTGCTATCAACTTCACATCAAATAGCTGTCTAATATCAAGACTATATAAAGAAATCAAGAAAGTAGATATTAAAAATCAGGTACAGTTCTAAACAGATAATTCTCTATAGAAAAATTTCAAGCAGATGAAAAACACTTAAAACATGTTCAACATCCTTTGCCATCATGAAAATGGAAATCAAAACTACCTGAGATTACGTCTTACATTCATCAAAATGCCTAAGACCAACAACACAAGTGATAGCTCATAGAGACAAAGGTGGACCAAGAGGAACACTCCTCCTTTGCTGATGGGAGTGAAAACCTCAAAACCATTATGGAAATCAATATAGCAATTCCTTAAAAAACTGAGAATCTGTCAACCTCAGGACCCAGCTATACTACTCTTGGGCATATACCCAAAAGATGCTACATTGTACTACTAAGACTCTTCCTCAACTAAGTTCATTTCATCTTTATTCATAATAACAAGACATGACATATTCAGAGGCAGATGCTCACAACTAACCATTGAACTGATCAAGTGGTTCCCAATGGAGGAGTTAGAGAGAAGGAAGTGAAGGAGTTGAAAGGGTTTGTGGCCCCATGAGGAGAGCAACAATACCAACCAGCCAGAGCTCCCAGAGTCTAAACCACCAGCCTAGGAGCACATGGGAGAAACTCATGGATCCAGTTGTATATGTAGGGGAGGATGACCTTCTTGGGCATAGCTGGGAGAGGAGATCCTTGGTCCCATGAAGGCTGGACACCAAGTGTCGAGATTGGGGAGGTGGGAGTACAGGGGTTGCTGAGGGGACATCCTCATAGAAGCAGGAGGAGGGGCATGGGATAGGGGGTTTCTGCAGGGAGGGGGAATGGCGTAAGGGATAACATCTGAGATGTAAATAAAATATCCAATAGAAAAGGATAAAAACACAATAACCAGACATGTGAAACAACCTAGATATTTCTCAACAGAAGACTAGAATTTTTAAATGTGCTACATTTACATAACGGAGTATTACTTGGAGTTTTAAAAAATGACATCCAACTGAATATGTAACAGAGGATGGCCTTATCCAGCATCAATGAGAGGGGAAGCCATTGGTCCTGTGAAGGTTTGATGCCTCAGCATAGGGAAATGCTAGGGCGTTGAGGCGTGAGTGGATGGGTGGGTGGGGGAGCACCTTCATAGAAGCAGGGAGAGCAGTGTAATAGCGAATTTTTCAGAGCGGAAACCAAGGAGGTTTGAAATATATAACATTTGAAATATAAATAAATAAAATAACCAATAAAACATTTTAAAAATGACATCATGAAATTTTCAGGTAAATGAGTAGAACTAGAAAATAAACATCTTACATGAGATAACCCAGTCCCAGAAACTAACATATAAGTGGATATTAACTGTAAAGTAAATAATAACCAAGTTATAATCCTTAGATCCAAAGAGGTTAAGGAAGGTTATAGAGGGAAAACATGAATCTACTTAAAAGGGAGAAGTAGAATAGATTATTCTCACAGACTGGGGGTTGATAAGGACTAAGGCAAGAAAGATCAAGTGGGTGTGGGAAGAATGAAGGGAAGGAGAGAACATGGGGAGAGACAACGGGATTTGGGGC